TCTGAAGTGCTGACACATGATTTTATTGATGAGACTCTTACTCTCTAAATCCCCATTAGGATAATGAGGAATCACCAGTAACTGAACTTCTTACCCAGTAGAATTTTGTTTATGTTACACTCTAAGCACCAATAGAAAGAGGTCTCTGACTTAAAGTTAGGAAAAAAGATCCAAGTCCTCAGAAATGTGTCATTGGAGTAGTTCTTCTCTTGTCCTTTTACAAATGAAATGAATTAAGTTTCCTCAGAAAGCAGATTCTACCCCCTATTCCAAAGAAAACATCATATTGTTTAATGCTATCATTTAATCAACCTAAGTCTTGTCCCCAGAGTCAGAGTGCAGATTGAGAAAAATTTTTATATAATGTAGTTGATGATAAAAATAATAGCCAGACAAACATTTAATTAGGAAAGCATACATTTTACTCCACAAATTTCTAATGGTTTAAAATCACCTTTAGAGCTCTCAAGTAATATAAATAGTTCAGAAAACTAAGTAGCTTATTTATCACCTTGGATTAATTTAAACTAAGAATTTTTTTTAGTCTTTTTACATAGTTTTCTCAATTTTCTGCCATATTCTAAGAAAATGGCAAAAATAATTAAACTATTTTGCTTTGGTATTTGTTAATAAAAATTATGGTTCCTTTTTTTTCCTTTTTGTTCCCAGGGAAACTTGGTTTCAGATAAATTTAGCTATTAAAATATGAACCTTTCTTAAATGGCAATGTTTAAATTCATAGTATATGTGTATTGTGGTATTATTATTATTGTATTTTGATTGCTTTTTTTTGTTTTGTTTTACAATTCTCTATTATTTTTCACAGAAACTTCCTCTTAGACACCCAGAACTCATTCAAGTGAGTATTCTAGTCTATGTTCCAAGAACTCCCTCCAAATATGGAATTTAAGTGATGATGTATTGATAACACATTGACGCTAGACCTGTTCCTCTCTTCTCTATAAAACAGTTTCACATTCACTGAGACACAATAACTTCAGTTCATGTGCTGACAAATTTTGATTTGTTTTCACAAACTTTGTTAGAGAAGGGGGCACATGGACTTAGATAAAAATTTGTGGTTAATAAAAACCTAATTCAAGAGAAATAATTAAACAGAATATGTTAACATGATTTATTTTAATGTATTCTTGCTTCCTTCTCTTCTGCTTGCACTCTAACATGTGATTTATAATTTAATTTCATTTTGCACACCAGATCTTGAATTAGATACCTCTACCACATGTTTCTGAAAGAGCCATTGATCCTTCACTGTGTCCACTGATTGAATAATACCTTTTTATTGACTTTTTTTATTCTTTGCAGAATGAACCAGACAGCGGAGAGGTAAGGTTCTTGCTCTACCCTCCTTCCAGCCCCCAACAATTTTTGTTAGCTGTGATGAATGGTGAATGTCTTCTTCACTCCAGTTTTTATTCATCTTCAAATGTTTCCACGTACTCAGCTACTTTACTCTCTCAAAACTCTGTTTTGATTAAATCCTTATTTAATTCCTCCTTTAACATTTTGTTAAGCATAGACTTACTAAATCTTTAGGCCTGGTCAAAAAGGAATCCCAATAGGGTGTCTCTTTAGTTTTAAAAAATTAGATCATAAAACCAAAACTAATTATCTTTTCTTCTACCTAAGAAATATGTTGGTTTACCTAATTAAAATTGATAACTTGCATTCAAATGGACAAACATGCTCCTTTTGGGTATGTTTTCCTTTTTTTTTTTTTCATCATTTACAATTTAATTCTACAGGAAGTTCTCAGAGAAAGACAGTTTCCCAGGTTTGCCCTGGTGAGTATTATCCTTTTATTCTTCTTAAAAGACAAACACGTTTTTCGGGGACATTTACTTTAATTTTGGTTTATAAATGTATTTTTTCACTTGGCTTGATCAAATCTTCCCTTCATTCAGTCACCCAGGCACCCACAAAGAATATTAAAACCATATATTCAAATATTAAAGAGCTGTTTTAAATTTTAATCTGTACCTGTGCATTTGCCTCTGTGCAAACACTCATGCTTTCCTTTGCATAACCTAGTCAGGACACATAATTTCCATACACATTCTGACGGAACACTCTCTATCTCTAAATAATACCATTTTATGTATTGTGTTTTCTATAGTTTTGTGACTTAATTGTCAAATAAAACATAAATAGAAATTTTACTTCAAGACCACTATTTTAAAAGTTTGATAGGCAACCCAACTTTGCTTGAGTGATTTTTAACATAATTTTTCTTTCCTTCTTTCTTTCTTTCCTTTTCTTCTTTCTCTCTTTCTCTCTTTCTTTTTTTCTTTTTTTTTTTTTTTCTTTCTTTTTTTCTTTCTTTTTTTTTTTTTTCTTTCTTTCCTTCTTCCCCGCCCCCATCTCTCTCTTTCTTTTTTCTTTCTTTTTTTGTAGCCTACATCAAGAGAGATAAGAGAGGTAAGGAAATCTCCACAAGATACACTGTCAAGTTAACCAAGAGGAGCAAGTGTTGTGCTGTCCACTTCTTTATTGCTTTTTTATGGAAATAGGCTTATTGAACCAGACAGATGAGATCAAGAGAACTCAGAACTATGACTAAAACAAGATGAAAGATAACAATAAAATGTAGTGGGACAAATTTTTTTTTGTTATTTAAGTGCATATTTACATACAGCTTAGGCAAAGAAAGCTTAGCAAAGAGAAACTAATGTTAGAAGTGATATAGCAAGAAATATTAGTACATTCATAAAAAACATATTTATTTTTTAAGTTGCAGCAGCACAATGCAAGGTACATTTTCTTATAGATGTTCATTCATTTATGTCCCTGTGCATGAATGTTGTTTCTCTTTTCTTTTTTATCCCTCAGGCTTACTTCAGTGAACTGAGCCAGGTAAGGAACACCAATGATATTTAAATTATTTTAAAAGTTTGTCCTTTCAAAAATAGATTTTATAAGCTATTGATTTTATTGATTCCAGCAGAGAGAACGTCTGAGAGAAAAACAGAATGATGTACTAAAGTACCAAAAACTTTCTTTAAATAGTATGGCAAAAAAAAATGTAGTCTTGCAATAGGAAAATTGTCTTAATTCAGGAAAAAAAAATAGTTTTTCCATGGCATTTGTAGTTTCCTTGAATTTTTAGTCAGACATTCAAAATAACTAATGAATTTTGCGGAGAATTCTAAAGAATACTGATTTTATTGTTTTATAGCTATGAGGCAACAAAATATTAGTATGAATGAATGGATGGATGAAGGAAGGAAAGAAGGAAAGAAGGAAGGAATGTGTGCATGTGTGGATGCACTAAGGACTGGTCAATTATTTGTACTTGTTGCCAAAGCTGAAGAAATGCTTCATTCAGGCTATTACATAAAACAATATATCTGTTCCAAAAATGTTTTACATAGTCACAATTGATTATTCACTTTATTTAAACATGATTTTTAAAATCTGGATTGTCTACTAGATTTTTAATAGATTTAGTATTAAGAGAACACACAGGTGCTCAAAATTTATAAAATAAATATATCTCCTATCCTTCATACCCAAATGATTATCTTTTCTTGACACAATACTAAGAATAAATCAACTGAGGAACGATCCTTTGTTTTAAAACTATTTGGTAATTGTTATTTTACATTTGAATATTTATCATGAAACATAAAATTAATTCTTTTCTCTTTTCCTAAGGGACAGGCCGTGGAATACCCTGAGGTAAGACACCTTTATTTTTATAAACACCGCCCTTATATATCATACGCAGTATTTGCTGTCGGCTTTATGTTAGCAAAACTATCTTCTCAAAGTGAGCAAGATTAAACTTCTCAGTTTAGTAAACAGTACTATTATATCCAAGAATGTACAATTCAACTTTATTTTTATCAGAAAAATCCACTTTGCATCATACTCCACCATATACCTGTGCTTATTTTAATAACAAAACATTTAAGTTATTGGGTAAGTTATTACCCTCTTCCCTCCATATATTTTAAATAAAATTGACACTCAAAAAAATACATTATATTGGTCCTGAAGTTTTTTAACCTGCTTTTCTCAAACCTGAAACCAATAGTTAGCAACCCAGGATGAAAATGTACAACTAGTTTCCTTCCAATTGTAAAAGTCGCATGATCAGTAACACTGGTTTTCTTTTTCTTAGCAAAAGCAATCTAGCAGCAGTTCATCAAGTGAGGTAAATGATTTTGATGTTAATTCAATATCCCAATTAGTCAGGAAACATTTATGAAAGCTTGTTGTACCAGAAAGGTTACCTATTTTATAAGGTCTCATTGTACAAGGTGCTATGTATATGGCTTGATTCTAATTTTAACACATGGGACTATTAGCCCAGCAGACTTAAGAAAGAAATTATTTGTCAGAGACAAAATTACAGAATTGTTTTTGGGCAAACAATCATATCTGGCCATCTGTGGTGTCCAAACATTTTTTTCTAGTTATTTTGCCCTACCAGATTTTGGTAGAACTCAATCTTGTCATTAAAAATTATAATAATGATTATGCTTCTAAATCAATTATGTAAACATGTTATATCCTGTGTAGAAATCAACCAATTCTAGGTTAATTAATCACAAATCTTTGCCTCTTGGTATCCCAAAGAAAAAAAAATTGCAGGCATAGAAGGTGTTGAGGTCCTGCTGTTAACTTCGGGAGACTTTCGCCCAAATTGCAAAATAAAACAAACCCAATTATGTGGAGTTTCTGTGAATTCAGTAAAGGTGAATATTTTATATCCACCTTCAACATTCTGAATAACCTCCCTGGTGAAAGCACAGAGAAGAAAAAAGGAATTATTGACATAACATGTATCTCAAATTATTCACCTTCTCTCAGTTATGCAGGAATTTGTGGCTAAAATCAGTTAACCACAGTTATTTAGTAATAGTATTTTATTTATTTTTAATTAGTATTAGTATTCTACCTTAATTAGTATTCTTACCTTAAATATAAACTAATAAGTCATAAAATTAAAAGTGTGCCTATTTCTATTTTTTTGAAGGAAGTTGTTCCCAATAACACTGAGGTGAGATATGTTTGTTAAATTTAAAATATACAATTATCCAAGATGCGTCACAATTTACTTAAACAAATTATATATATTACATATATATAATATATATATATATTGTTTGTTTGTTTGTTTAGCAGAAGCAAATTCCAAGAGAAGACACACTCTACCAACACTACCTGGTAAAATTTCATTAAAAGCTTATCAAAGGCAAATGTACCAAGGAATAAGAATGTTATATTGATAAATTATTTCTCCTTGTTATCTGCTAAAATTTAACCCATAGCAAGTATGTCTGATGGACTCTAGATATTGGCTGATTCCTCTATGAAAATAACACTAACAACTTTTTTATCCCTGGTATTTAATTCACACTTTCAGTTGAATATTTGTGTTGTATAGTCTGTCTTGGATCTGAATAGCCTAGTATTTAAATGACAGTCTGTAGATTTGGCCAGACTTGAATTTGCCCCTAAGTTTTACCTTTTCCCAGCATGTGATGTTGGACAGTCTGCTTATCTCCTGTAAGTCTAAAATCTAAATTCTAAAATGACAATAATAAATATTAAATGATGTGAGAGCAGTTAATACAATCCAGAGTGTAAAGTAAATGATAAATAAATGTGGCTAATATCAGAAACATCATCATTTTTTCCCCAGTTCATCTAATATTTTTATTTCATTTGACCAAGGTTAAATCTTTGGTCAGAAAGCAAAAATCATTTTTAATTTTGTTAGTAATTCTGACACAAGATACTTTATAAGTAAAATTGCCTGAATACTCACTTATATGTAACTGTACTTTAACTTATTTTAAGTTTAAAATAAGTTAAGAAAGTAGTTTTTCTAATGTTTTAAAAGGAAATAATTGATTTAGTCCAAATTATTTGCGGTAGAAATAACACTGAAATAGGATTAATAGTTCCTCATTCTTTACTTCTGGGAAAAGCATCGTAGGATTCTAGCTTCATTACTTGAAAATGATGGGGTTGTACTGAATGGTATCCAAGCAACTGAGAATATTTTTTCTTTTGAATAGGAACAGCTTCGTAAACTGAGCAAATACAACAAACAACAGCTGGTAATATTTTATTTATTATAATACAAAATCATATTCTGCAGAATGAAATTACATTAAATTTTAAGTTGGGTTCACTTCAAAAGATGTATTCATTTTCCTCAAGAAATTATTCTAGCCTTGGTAGTTGATAATAATTGAAAAACTATTCATATGATCGCCTATATATTTACTGTCAAAACCATTTTTTTCTATTTATGCCCAGACTAATTTTGTCTATCCTATCCATAATTAGTAACCACGGCGAAACTTACTTTGACTAAATTCCATTACGAATCCTTTTATATTCTCTGTGATGATGCATTATATTCAGGACTTAATCATGTGTTTATTTTCCGAAGGCCAGTCCTGGTTGGGAACTCTATATAAATATTCCTGCTCATGAGAGCACAGAATGTGCCAAATAAACTTTCCATTTAAGGAAACAGTATAGACTCTGTAGGAGGAATCGGAAGTCCTAAACATTCAAATTGTTTTTGTCAAAGCTCTCTAAGAAAGGATGGTCAACTCACTGATATGAGGAATTCTTAATCTCAGGAAACAAACTGAGGGTTGCTGGAGTGGTGGGGGGTGGGAGGGATGGGGTGGCTGGGTGATAGACACTGGGGAGGGTATGTGCTATGGTGAGCGCTGTGAATTGTGTAAGACTGATGAATCACAGATCTGTACTTCTGAAACAAATAATACAACATATGTTAAGAAAAAAAAGAAGAAGATAGCAGGAGGGGAAGAATGAAGGGGAGTAAGTTGGAGGGGGAGACGAACCATGAGAGACGATGGACTCTGAAAAACAAACTGAGGGTTCTAGAGGGGAGGGGGGTGGGGGGATGGGTTAGCCTGGTGATGGGTATTAAAGAGGGCACGTTCTGCGTAGAGCACTGGGTGTTATGCACAAACAATGAATCATGGAACACTACATCAAAAACTAATGATGTAATGTATGGTGATTAACATAACAATAAAAAATTTAAAAAATGCAAAAAAAAAAAGAAAGGATGGTCAAGTTGAACTTAATTGTCTCTGGACTTGTTTCCTTATGTGTGTGAAATGGAAATATAGTTATTCTCGCTTCCTGGTGTTATTCTGAATATTGAATTAGCAATCACCTACTCAGCTAGCCCTGAGTCTGGCTTGTAGCAAGTCCAATAAAATGTTCATTCCTTCTCCTCCTGCACCAACTTCTCAGTCTTTATAAAATTTGCTGTGCTCATGAACTTTTGAAAACATTATGAAGGTTTTTTTTTAATCAAGATGTGCATTTGAACTATAATGCCTTAAACTCTTTATGCTGAGTGTATGAATAGATCAAAAACATATCAATCAGCACACCATTTAGTTTTGATCCTTTTGATTATTAAAAAGTCATTCACTTGGGAGAAAAAAAAAACACCTTACTTTTAGTTACAACAAATCAACTTAATTAGGACTTTAGGGGAAAAGCCCTATCCTAGTTTAGCAAAATTACCTTTTTCATTTTCTTCTGTTATGAATGTAGGCAGAGGAAAGCCAATAATGAATTAAATTTGGACCTCAATTGTTAATCTTATATCGGTGTCCAAGTTGCTTGTGTTTAAAATAAAGTCCAAATAAATTTAAATATATCAGTACCCCACTGGAATTCACCATTACTGATCTAAGAAATTACTGGAATGATATATTTTACTATTTTAGCTATGATATGGCTAAGCGGTAACCTTTCACAACTATTATTACTATCCTGGTCTTGCTAATGGGATTCATCGTATTTCATGGTTGTATCGTCAGTGCTTAGCATATTCATCCCTGAATGAATGAAAGTACTTAGTAAATGTTTGTTATTCATAAATGAATAAACTCAATATACTAAAATAAAACGTTTTCTCTTCCTTAGGAAGCTATCCATGACCAGGTAAGATTATTTATTAAATCTAGAATACTTTTATATTTCCTTCATGTGTTATGTTTTTATAATATGTGCTTCTCTTTTTTAAAAGAAATATATCTCGAGAGAGAAGTTGTTCTACTAACCATACCTGATAATATTTAAAAATTTACCAAAGATCAAATTTAAATAAATGATTAATAAGTAGCCATGAACAGAAAAAACGTAGTCTTAGAAAATTGGTAGGTTATTTTCTCCCAGTATATGAACCTTACAAATTATTTTTCCAAACTATAGTAATCCTAGCCTTACTTGAATATTTTTTCTGACGTTGAAAAATAAAAAGTGTTTTGCTACTTCTTGATAATTCTGGCATAGAATACAGTTTACCCTAAATTTCACAGATGATGCTATGTTCTTGGTACATTGTAAAATGAATGTGTTGTACCAGATGTCTAAGTAATTCAGAATGTACTTTATTTCCTTTTATACAGCAACAACTTCGCAGAATGAATGAAAACAACCTCCTCCAACTGGTAATATTTTGTTTAATAAATTACACAGGATTAATATACTGTCAAATTTAAATATGTTTGTTTTTAAAAAGCCTCATACTTTGGAAGTGATTGTTTTCTTCTCCAGCAGTTATTTCTCACTCCCAACTTCAGTGATAATTTATATTAATTGATCTGAGAGATTAGAACTACTTCTCACTATTCTTTGGAATGGGAGCTGTGCCAGTCTGTGTCTCAGCTGATGGGAACAATGTATTTATAGTCATAAGGACTATGAAGTGTTAATCTCCATGGTTACATTAATTTCTCTTCTAACATATTTCTTAATTTTATAGCTTTATGTCCATGATCTGTTTCTAAAATTCAGTTTAGGGCCACCTGGGTGGCTCAGTCAGTTGAGTGTCTGCCTTTGGCTCGGGTCATGATCCCGGAGTCCTGGGATTGAGCCCCACATCGGGCTCCCTGCTCAGTGGGGGGCCTGCTTCTCCCTCTCCCCCTTCTAATGCTCTCTCTCTCAAATAAATCAGTGGAATCTTTAAAAATAAAATAAAATAAATAAAACAAAATAAAATTCAGTTTATATTTAAGAATCTCAAACTCTCAAACTGGTTGACACACTTTTCTTCTGAAGAAACCATCTGGAGAGATACTGAATGTCTCTGCCAAAATACTCTCTGATCTTGTTTTCTCATCTGTGAAATGAGATTGTCAGTAATACCTAACAGATGCCAGTTTTTCCCCTGCCCTAAATTCCATTGATTCCTCAGGGTTCCTAGGGATTCTGATTTCATTTTTAAGGCAATAAGCAGATACTATGACCTATTTGTTGCCATAACAGTTCTGATTCCTGTGAACAGTCAGGTTAATTCCATACCAGCCGTGGAGCCCTCCAACTACTACTTGCTATTTAGTGACTCTTATAAAGATTGTTGAGGATGTCCCATATGTCTCAGAAGAAATTGACTCCAGTTATTATGATTGGCAAAATCAGCGTTGCTTCCCAAATCTCTAAAATGAAAAGTATTTCAAACAGGTTGCTTCTTCCAACTTTGAAGCTTCGTTCAGATTTCGAAAGTAACTTTGATTCTTTTTCTTCCCAGAGAGCTCACAATCATCTCTTGTGTTGTTAATAGCCATGTCAGAAATGAATGAAATGATTCATTTTCAGAGATTCAAAACAGCAATTGTTCATACATTGTTGCTTTTCAATGGTCTTTCCTTCTAGCCTTTCCAACAATTCTACAAACTTGATGCTTATCCCTTTGCTGCTTGGTATTATCTTCCACAAATCATGCAGTTTATTGCTTATCCACCATCCTACGACATCACTAAACCCATTGTCTCTGAGAACATTGAAAACGTTGATGTTGTGCCAGAGTGGTGGTAAGTTCATTTAAATTACTGCATATTGATGTTCTACCAAAAGACATAAAAGAAAATCACTTACAGAACATGCCATAGAAACAGATGTAGAATCAACATGGCAAATCAGTGTTTAGTGCTTCATAATGAAATGGAAAATTGATAATATTTTCTGTGGCATCTATGGCTAATGTTAACCCAATAGATCATGTGGAGCAGTGCTATCTATTCTGTAAGTGAAACTCATTCTTGATGAGGGTAGAAAAAAAGGTTTTTCTCCAAATTAAAAATATAAAGAATTCTGATATAGAACCCAATTTTATTCTCCTTGCACCTTTATTAATCTTTGAATGCCTTTCTTTTGGTTATACCCATGATATACATAAGGATAGAACACAGATTTTGGTATCCACTTAAAATAATATAACGATGTTTATTTTTCTTAACTCTGAAGGTGATTAAATATAGTCATCTTTGCAAAGTATAGTGTTGGGAAAATAGACACAGAAAATGAGTAGCAGCCATTTTTTGAGCTAATAACGTTTTATTGCTGACTACCTTGATCACATAATTTTAACAATTTTTGTTCTTTCAGAAAAATTAAGAATTCCCAGGAACTCCACAATTATGGCTGTTGGTAAGTTTGGAAATTACCTGTCTAACCATTAATCCCATTTCCATTTGAAGACAAAGTACAAAGATATGATTGTAGGCTATAATTCTTTTTCTTTTTGCTGATGTCTAGCTACTTGTGAACACATTAGAAGTTAAATAATCACATTGGCTTAGAAATTTGCAAATTTTTGTTTCCTGGTCATACTAGACTTAAACAGCAACTTAAAAATTATCTAATTTTATCTAATATAATTTATCATATTGAAATTCCTATACAAGTATAGGAGTATGGATGTTATTAATTTTCTATGAAGATGTGACTTTGAGACGCAGGTGAACCCAACAGTTGTACCCTGTTCTTTGTGATCACTGCAGTAGAAATCCTTAGCAAGTCACATAATGAAACCAAATGATTATCTCTCAACAGGCAAACAGACTGATACATCAATAGATTTTTTTAAAATTACCTTCATCTTCTATATTGGAGCTTTTAGCTGTGTGTGCATGTGTGCATGTATGTGTGTTTCCCTTCACAATAGTGGGAACTTCCTTTTCAACAGATCAAACTAAAGAAAATGATAAAACTCTGACCCATATGAAAGCTTTTTCTTCTAATTGCCTTGCCATATCTTTTATATTACTGCAAAGGAAAATACTACCTAGTAAAAGAATTTTCAAAACTTAAAAATTAGGAGCAATGGATATATTTGTCAGTAACAGGAAAACACAAATAACATTGTGAACTTTATTTTAAAATGAAGAGAAAATGACAATTAAAATATGCATATCATAAAAGTGTCTCTTCAACTCTAAATATGTAGTATAGCTAACCACATATTTCCTTTTCTATTTACAGATGTGACTGAAAATTCCATTCTCTAAATTTCTCCCATCTACCATGTAAAACCATCCTATCCAAAGGCTTCGACTGTTATTTTAGAATAGGACAATCCCAAATTGAGGACAATGTTTCTTTTTCAGTTCTCTACTGTATATTACATAGAATTATCATTATTTTCCTTAAGCTAAATTTTCCTAACAGTTTATTGTCTAAATTCCAGTTGTATCATGCCAGTATGAAGGTCACTGAAACAGAGGGTATTGAAGTCTTTACTAAGTTTCTATTATGGAAATTTTGTGTAAAAAGTCTTTGAATGGCTTCTTCTGTAAGTACCATCATTCCCTATAATTGTGTGCAGTGACTGAGATTTTTTTCCTTTTTTTCCAATAAATTACAATTTTAAAGCACAGTCCATATTTTCTGTCATTATTCCATTCACCAGCATTTACACAATCCTTTTAAGAGTGTGTATATAACATTTTGTTTTCACCAAATTTATTATGATACGTTCAATCACATTTTAATGAAACAAAGTTAAAATGTCACTTTTGACTGATGCTGGCAAATTATAAACGTGGTTCAAGATCATTCATTTGAAGTCAGTTGTTTACGGACTATTTCCCATGAGGACATCCCACGTCTCTGTGGCATTCGTGAGTGCACTGGGAATTTGAATGAGCCGGTTATACAATTTATTAATGCCATCAGGACCTATTTGGGCCCAACCCACCTGATTATAACTGAGTTTATAGGTAGGTAGACTAGGTCATAACCATTTAAAGAGTCACCTCAGCACACACAGTCACCCAGTAGCTGGGGTGGGCTCTTCAGTATCCTCCAGAGCCCAAGGAGGAGCTCTTTCTCAAAATGACAATCCTTACTTGTTCTGACATCCTAAAAGCCCCAGGTGTGATGTACTTTTTAGGGTATATTCCAGATTCCCAACCAACCGAACATGCCATGACCCTTTAAGAACCACCGTATCTACCAGGTGATAACATATGTGAGAAGGCTTCCTGTAGTATGGCCTAAGCCATCAACTGCTCTGCATCCTACCTATAATATATATTATATATGCATAACACCCAAACATGAAATTTTTGTCTTGAAAATGAAGAGAAAGCCACTTAGCATTGGGTCTTCCACCTTCTCTCAGTGTCAAGAAGTACATGGTAAAACAACTTCTTTTTCTTTTTTAATCTAGAGAAGGTTTGTCACATACTCAGACTCCTGGACCTGCAAGAAATTAATGGAGAGTGCTTTCCCCTGTGTCTTCATAAAATTTATCTACCAGTTTCTGTCATCATATCACTTCCCAAGCCCTCAAGGATACTTGATATTTCTTGTGTTATGAATCCTATAGAAATAAGGTCATCAAGCGGTGCCTGGGTAGCTCAGTTGGTTGAGCATCTGACTCTTGGTTTCCACTCAGGTCAGGAGTAGAAATGGTGAGATCGAGTCCCACATCAGGCTCTGTGCTCAGCAGGGAGTCTGCTTGAAGATTCCCTCCCTCTGCCCCTCCCCACTACTCTCACAATCTCTCTCAAATAAATAAATAAATATTTTTTTAAAAAGAAATAAAGTCATCAATTTAATGAATGCACAGTGAGCCATGGAATAAGATAGTCATGTTTCCTGCAGTCTAAACTGTGCTGCAAGACTAGAGTAGACTTGTCCTTAAAACTGTGCCATGAGGTGTAAGCCTCTGTCTGAAAGATGAAAGCAAACTGTTTCTGGTATTGTTTTCCTCTTTTTCTTAAGTTTGAAAGGCAGGATGGAGAAAAAAATGCAAGGATCAGGGATTTATGTGACACTATATTTAAAATACCACCTATAATCTGGGTGGAAAGGATGGGCAAAATGGGTGAAAGGGAGTAGGAGATACAGGCTTCCAGGTATGGAATGAATAAATCCAAGGAGACAAAGGTGCAGCACAGAGAATACAGTCAATGGTATTGTGATCGTGTTGTATGGTGACAGGTGGTAGCTCTACTTGTGAGCATAACATAATGTAATAAAGTTGTCCAATCACTGTTTTTGACCTGAAACTAACATAACATTAGTTACATTAATAACAAAAATTTAAAAATGAGTTGTCACCACCTCATTAAACTTGTAATAATCCACTGTTACTTTCCAAGAAGCTGTTGAAAAGGCTAAATGGGGGGACGCCTGGGTTGCTGAGTCTTATAAGCATCTGCCTTCGGCTCAGGTCATGATCCCAGAGTCCTGGGATCGAGTCCCACATCAGACTCCTTGCTCAGTGGGGAGCCTTACTCTCCCTCTGCCTGCCGCTCCCCCAGCTTGTGCTCAATCTCTCTCTGTCTGTCAAATAAATAAATAAATTCTTAAAAAAAAAGCCAAATGGGAAATGGAATAATGATACAATTCACTTTCCTTATGTCCTTTAGTCTTTAACAGTTGCTTTTTTCCCCAGAGGAGCAAAATTTTTATTTTATTACAGAAGGAGACATAAGAATGGTTTATATTCAGTAATTTTTGACCTTTTTACTCCATATATCAGGGAGGTAATATGGGGATTAAACCAGTTTCTCAGTATATCTATTCCCACTCTGAGCAGAGAACTTACCTTAATGATTTGGACTAGGCTTGGAAGGAGGCAAACTGTGGGGGTAACATCAGTTATTACTTGACTCAAAGAAATCCCAATATGAACCACAAATCATCAGGACATTCTCCAGGTAATGAGTGGTAAGACAGAGAACGGATCTTAGAGTCTGTAAGAAGATCAGTTAGTTTGTTTCTTTATGTAAATGCTCCAAAACTCATAGATCAAAGACAAGGATCAGGATTGGAAATATGATATTATAGGAGGATGCTTCCTACAGAACTTTGATTTTTTTCTACATTCAAGAATTATAGATCCATAAATTAATTCTTATTCAGAAATTGGGGTGGATCTTCATTCTCTGTTGGTAGCTTGAGCCGGAAGTCTCTTTATCAGAGAAATTCTGTTCACCAAAATATTTTTATATTTATATATAAAAAATAACCCTGATGAAATTGCCATTAAATTTTTCCTATGGATATAATGATTAGTTCCCACAGATGTCACCTCTGTTTTGACCATTTGTCATGCAGTAACTACCACCACCACCCCTCCTCCACTAAATCTCTAAAAATATTAATTATCGCCTTACTTCAGGAGTTTACTTGCTATCACTTAGGTGACTGGGCTTCTTCATCCTCCCTGAGGTCAGAAATACAATTTAATTACTGTGTGCCTCCTAATAAAGTTTTCAGTCAACTGTAGTTAGGGAAAAAAGACTTTTATAAAAATCCATTCTTTATGGAAAATGTTAAAGGACAGTCATCTATGCTTTGTAGACATGGGGAAGTGGTGGGTTATTAGAATTAAACATATCTATCTACAGATAGTTTTTGAATGTTTCCCTTTTTATTATGGTTACAAACCTTCTAGAACCCAGCAGATAACATGAATGAGTGGGAAAATGATGGGGGGGAAATGATGTTGATCGTAAACTGAAGAGTATATGCCTTCTCCTTCTGCTACTCCTTCCAATTTTTTGTTGCCATGCATAATACATGGATCAAGTGTTACCAGAAATTAGGACTCATAGGAGAAACTGGAAATGTGAATTGGGACTCATAGGAGAAACTAGAAATGTGAATTGGTGTGTAAAATTACCTGATTTTTAATATAGTCTAGTTTCTTTTTTTTTTTAATACAAAATGCACAGTCCCATTCTCTTTATTGCCCACATCCAGCCCCTAAGACACTAGTCTATGTACTCTACTGTGCTTTAAGGAAACAACTTTCTAATTTTTTTATTCTTATTACTGAGCCATTTCAAGGTTGAAGTTAAAGGGAAAAGTGGGAAATTAAGGTAACCATTAACTACAGTAAACAAAGAAATCATGATTTCATCATGAAACAGGCACAATGAGAGTTTCAGGAGCATTTGGGAGTTAGGGGTGCTCTGAATCTTTCATTTCCTCCAATATATTTCATTTTTTCCTAATAATTGGTACCTCACTTTCCTAAATTTCACATGAGATCTACAAGCCTGTAAATTCATGTTATTTTAATTATTATATATTGAATGTTTGTGTTTCCCCTACATTCATATGTTGAAACCCCTATCCCCAATGTGAAGGTAGTTGGATGTGGGGTCTTTGAAGGCAACTGGGTCATGAGGGTGGGAACTTCAGGAGTGAGATTAATGTCGTTATAAGAAAAGATTTGAGAGAGATGCTCTCTTTCTCTCTCTGCCATGTGAGGATATAGCAAGAAGGTGGCTGTCTGCAAGCCAGGAAGACAGCTTTTACCAAACACAGGATCTGCTGGTACCTTGCACTTGAACTTCCAGCCCCCAGAATTGTAAGAAATAAATATTATGTAAGCCATTCAGTGCATGGTATTTTGTTATGGAGACCTGAATTAAGGCATTCATTGTGTAATTTAAAAACTCAACCTTGGGTTTTTTTCTTCAAAAATTTAATCTCTATGACCATAAGCAGTAAAAGATCCACTGTCATAGAACCATGACATACAGGAATTTTATTCTATTTGGTCAGGAATATCGTGGTGCCAACTGATACAATTAAACTTTACCTCAAATTAATGAAAAAAAGGGGAATTTATTAGCTCATGTAACTAAAAATTCCAAGAGGGAAGTACAGTTGGACTTAGGAACTTGACAGTGGTCACTAACCCTTTTGTTCATCCTTCACTATCACTCTTCTTTGGACTGACTTGATTTGCAGGAGATAAGAAAGATGGCTTGCTCACATCTCAGGGCTTCGTGGTTGTTCAGGTCCTAAATGCCACAGGAAATGACCACACTGCAGGTTCCCTGAGTATTCACGCATGAGTAGAAGAATGTTAATTGGCTCTGTTGGAGCAAGGATCTCTCCCTTTGGGTATTATGATACTCCTGGCTTCGGATATATGCTCACTTTTTTTCATCTGAGAGTCATTAAAATCTTCTAAGATTACATGCTAAGATACACCAAATTGGAATTGTAGTTCAGAATTAAGTCATACATTATTCGAGCTTTCACCATTAAAACTTTTTTTTTCTCCCTTTGCGGCCTAAATTTCAA